ATAAAAATCTTTCAAATGCGACTGTAACTCCCCCCCCAAAAAAAAACTTTGTCTTCAAAATAAGGGTGCGTCTTATTTTCCGAAAAATACGGTACTTGAGGGTAAGTGGGAGTATCAAGGCTGGTGGCAAGCGAACAATAAGTCGAGAAAGCTTTAAGTGGCACGAGGTTAGATAGCATATCAATGCATTTATATGTTTTTTATTATGGATCTCTGTACTTAGTTTACAAGTTCCAGCATTGAATTCACTAATCTTGCCCTTATGAACAGTCTCAGAAGTTGGATGGCTGAGTTAATACTTCACATCATGATTTATTGAGCTGATTTCAATGGGTTGCCAGGCAACTGTTGGCCATGTGTGAAAGTTAGAGAAGTAAAAAATTCTGGATTTCCTTTTATGTTCTAGTGAAACATCTATGTAATTGTTTGTAATTAAGCACAACGCTACACAATGGGCTATCTGTGCTCTGCCCACCACGAGTATCGAAACCCGGATTCTAGCGTTGTAAGTCCGCAGACATACCGCTGTGCCACTGGGGAGGGGGAAGCACCTATGTCCATTCTGTTGTTATTTTGGTTTAGTTTGTCATAATTTACTTTCTGCAGACAAATCTCACGAAAGGTATGGAGCTCAAAATATACTATTATAAAAAGGAATTGACAGCAGGTATTAGACATACAGGAGTTTTATTTTTGTTGTTGTGGGTTGTAATCAAATTTATTCAGACATGACAAGCATGGAGTAAGTTAATTTTTATTATGATATACGCCTTATTTATACATATCTATTACATCAAATCTAGCCATCGTATAGCAGACTGACATAACACCAATATACTAATTGTCATTAAGTACAGCAGTATTTAATAGTAGGGATCGACAAGGTTTCCAAATAATTTACGTGCTGAAAAACCACCCCACTGAATTCCTAAGCGAAAAACCGACAGTTCAAAGTATTGGTTACGATATATTATGTGCATATATACTAATAATACGCTAAAAAAGGTCGCTAACATTTCCGGTATAACAATTCAAAAATTTCAAAAACAGCAACTTTTTCGTCTACCTACCTACCTGATCACATCAGCGAGGCTAGCCCCTAGACGGCTCGGACTATCGCTACAAGATTTCTCCAGCTTACTTGACTGGCCTGTAGGTATCAGCTTTTGATATTCTGATAAATATATACAGATTTTTTTATAAATGACAAACATATCTTGAAAGTACTTAAATATCTTTTCAACCCAACAGATGGCGCTACATATCGATGGATAGACCCGCGACAGTTCTAAAGGTAAAGAATGTGTTTTTTTCAGGTATAACATAAAAACTGAACAAACAATAATATTAAAAATTATGCATTTTAAAATGAAGGAGGGACATTACTACAAAAAGTAATGAAACAAGAATTAAAACCACAATCATAAATCTTATCTGTAGGCCAAAGTAAGTATTGTGGTTTTAATTCTTTTAAGAGTTATATTTATCAGGGATATGGCTATGCTGAAAGTTTATAGATGTTGTGTTCATTTCATGGACATATAAAACTGAATAACTAAATAGGAAAAATATATTAACATTTCAACGGAACATTGGGATCGTTGGTTATTCATAGAATTGCCATAAGAAGTATCCAAAACAAAATAAATGCTGCAATAAAAAGTATACAAACAAGTAAAGTGATACTAGTTGGATAGATTTTAAAACGATTTTCAATCCTTACATTGACTGGCATTGCAATCCGTATAGCTAAATGAAGCAGTCTAAATTTGCCAATCAGTTACTTTAGAACCCAATTGACATACAGTCAGCGATAAATTCACTTACGGTACCCGGTAGTTAGCACAATTAACTAGTATAACCTTATTCTGTTTCTGATTTACTATAAACGTATTTCTAATGATGTTCTACGTCAAACACCATTCTTGTAATCCAGAAAACAAAATTGGAACTTTAAATTATTTAATAGTTATTTATATACCAACTTTCAAAAAATATTCCTTTCAGCTAAATTTATAATATGCAATTATAAATAATAAATATTCAAATATTTGCATAACAACAATACAATGTATTTTATAATTTGTAACGTAAAACTGTTTAAAAAATAACAATGGTTTGATAGTACATAGTTGTTAAAATCACATAAAAACTATTTAAAGTATCGGGCTATTGGTTTTAATAAATTTCAGGAAATCTATTTAAACTTAAATTGTTCAATCTTGTAAAATCTGATGAGTTAAGACGTGACTAGATAAGAAATTACAATATCACTTGAAGAAGGTTAGAGATGTGATATCTTGCTATTGGATATAATTCATTAAATTAGCTATATTTTATTGTAAAGCTAAATTAGTAAGCATATATATTGTTCCTCTATTATGAACTTTGCCCCCCAGTGGCACAGCGGTATGTCTGCGGACTTACAACGCTAAATTCTGGGTTTCGATACCCGTGGTGGGCAGAGCACTGATAGCCCATTGTGTAGCTTTGTGCTTAATTACAAACAAAATTATGAACTTTATGCTGTAGGTGAGATTTACTTTTATTTCAATGATAGCAAAGCGAAAGCCACGACATCTGTTACACATATATGTCCCTAGTTGAAGCTATGCCATATAATGATTATTAGCCTAGGCCCACGATTAATGTGTGCGTACGGTGAATTCAAGGATTTCGCTAAATTAGGTGTAGAATATAGTTTTATTATGAAGACTGCTTTAGTGGTTTATTGGTAGGCAAACATGTTATTTAGTAAAATTATAGTTAATAATTACGCTCCTCGCTACAGTTTTGTTTCAACACATGAAAATATATCTTTATAAGGGTGGTGTTAACTCACTGGGGGCCCTAAGAAGAAATATTTTTGGACCTCTCACTCACCCTGTAAAAAATACTAATTGCGATGTTTCTACAAACCAACAAAATGAAATTTCTACTCGCCAACTAACATTAATGCGCCAGTATGTTTCTCAAATTATGTACACTGTATGTGTACTGCGCTTAGAAACCAATCAGTGCATGCTCATCAAGCGAGTACCTGATTGAGAAGCGTTTTGCTACTGCAAAATTTTAAACGTCCATCTGTTACTAGCTGATGTGTTTTTTGGATTGTTTTCATTAAAAACACTTTTCTTTTTTCAATTGCGTCGAATACTAAAACAGATAAAACTCAAAATTGTGATAAAAAATCATCGTGAGTCGGTGGCCCTTTCAGTTGTTCGTGTGCCCTAAGAAACTGCTCGTGCTTAGCGCCGCCATCGCACCTTTATATTAGAAGCTGAAAGTACTATTCCTACGGAAAAACTTCTAGAGGACGTCAATGACATCCCTTTTTTTCAATGGAATTATTTTTGTTGGTTCTGTTTCAAAAATTTCGCCCAAAGCTCCACAAGCTATCCCTAATTTTGAACTGATAGACTAAATGGAAGTCAGCTAGTACCCAATGCCAACTCTTGTGCTACTGGTGTCTGATCGAATTATGGGATTTGACCGTCACTCTTACAGCACACTTATGGCGTCAAAGTGTTGATTGTATTTTTTCAGTGATGGGTCGCTAACTACTATGTTACGACAAAACCTGTTTGTTAAGACTCATAATCATGTCAAAGAAATACGTTTAGTACGTTTAATATGCTTGAAAGGAACTCAGCCATTGGCAAGATGAAGAGATGCTTTTAAATTAACTTATATTTCACCTTTAAAAGCAATTGCTTATTCTGAATTAAAGTTTTTTTTGTATTTTTTAATAGGCGACAAAAGTTTTTAATCTATAAAGCCTACAGAAACTGAATAAGGGCTATACATAGAAAATCTTGCAAATAACTGACAACTGTTACACTTATATACAAAGATATCCTATCAATAACATATCGTCGATAATTATTCGCATTATTTTATAGAACTGAGTTTCCAGTTAGGTTAAAAATTAATTACGTATATATTTCTCACAATAATTTCAATTTAGCCGAATTTTAAAAATATAATATTTGAAATTATACATTTAAACACTATGAAGAAAAATATAAAAGAATGTTGTGACTATCTTTGGTTTACTTTTTAAGATTAATTTATATCTTCAATAATGTTTGCTACAGGCTATTTTCACTTTTAGGCCTAATTTATAAAGATTTTCAACATAAAATCCGCAACTAAATGTAGGCCTAACTTCATATACAACATTTCAATATAAACTGCAAGACAGACAGCTAACTTAATTAGCTTTGATAGATAAACAAACACGAGACTCACCGAGTAGTTGAATAGTAGAATACACGTTATAACTTTCACTGCTAACACTGAATAACTTTTTTGACACTGAACTAGCTGATTAACTCATATTTATATGAGTAGATATAAATAACACTAGGTTATAAGTCACGTAATTTTCGGCATGTGGAAGTGGCCGCCATTAGTATATGTTGAACTTTCAAAGCCCATCAGCTGAACTGACAATGGTAAGGCTATCTCACCTCACAACTTATGGCAGTTTTCCATCTAAACTAGACGTTTGGATAATTTCTTTATTTGATGTTCATAAATTTGTCAAGCGAAAATGAGCTAAACCTGATTTTAACTTAGAAATTAGTGCAAAAATTGTTAACAAAATACACATATCTGACCT